CACTTCATTGCTTTGGGAAGGAGGGAGCGCCATCTATCGTGTCTTTCAGATTATCATCTAGCATTCGATACGCAGTCAATAATTGCTTAATCGTATCCATTTGAAACTATTTTCGATTTTTAATCATATCTCCCAATATTTCTCGCTGTTCTTGTTTTCCAGTTAGGCAATCTGAGTACACAGAAGGCTAAGTTAAAAAAATTAACTCTAGCTATGATTCTCGCAAAAAAGGTAATCTAACAATGAGTTATAATGACGTTGCTTGTGAGAGCAATTCGGAATGTGAATTTCGCGGAAAAGGCCTAACGTTATTTGTTCGGGCTAAAGCTCCGCGGGTTAAGCAGCGGGGTCCATGTCACTCACGTAGCCCGGGCCACACTGAGAAACTCCGGAAAATGCGCGGGTCTCTCATGCTGAGATCTACGACGAACTCAAATGTATTTTTCCTCCGCGGTGTCGAACGCGATAAGCGGTTAAATTGAGATCATGAACTTTTTCTTCGATTTTACTGATCGCGAATTCGGTCCGATTTTGTTGTCGATTTTTCCGTGACAAAAGCCTGCGGTTTTGACCGACTCTGACACCCGAGCACGTGCAACTGTGATGAATATTCGCTCGATATCGTCTGGGACGAATGTCGTTTGCTTGACGGACCTGTCTTCGTACACATTGGACTACTTCAGTTCTGCAAATCTGACCTCGACGTCACAGAAAGACCAAGTGGTTGTGCGATCATACTACGCCAGAAATTCAGGTAAAGGGTACCAGTACATTGCAAATACTTTTTCTCAGATCCCTGGGCTTCTTTTTTCTGTATAACTGGACCTGGAGTACGACGCAGATGTTCATGTACGGTACATGAATGAATGAGATTCGTATAGAAGTGTAACAAATATTCTAACGAAACTTCCACGCACATTCCATTGCCCCATCGACTCCGAGCAGTGTATGCTAATGTGTAATTCATGGAAAAAATAATTTGAAGCCCGTTTTGATGCATACGAAAATTAATTTTTGTGTTATTGTAGATTTATCTAATGCCTTAGCATTCTCTGGGGTGGAAAAAAGATTCGATTTATGAGTTGACAACGACAGATGGGGAATAATTTTATCGAGCTGCGGGTTTGGATTGAATTTGTCTCACGGTACTCGGGGTTTTTTTTTTCAACGCGGCTTTGTTTGTTTGTTCCAGGTTTCACGTATGCGTCGGGATCTGCTGTTCCGACTGACGATTGTGTGAGGATGGAAGCCGAGATCCAAATTACGGACCACCCGCTCAACACCGACGGAGCCGTTTTCAACGTCTCCGTAGGCTCTAGGGTAGGAGGCGTGATCGAGATTGAGCTACAGAAAATCCAAGTTATTCGCGTCCCAGGCAAGGCGGACATCGTGGTTGAAATGACGTCCCTCAACCCGAACACGACTGTTCACCAACCCAAGTACGATTATTCTAGAATTTGAATTTCGCGAATATTTAAGCATTTGGGGGGATCAGCACTTCTAATGCTTCTTCTTCTTTGTTTTTCGACCGCGGAAAGAGGTATTTTAAATTTTTGCTCAGGATTCTTCTTTTGATTGTCTCGGTGCGTCACACGCAATTTTCACGAGTTCAATTTATTTGAATGCTGTTTTAATACGCGTTCATTGAAAATATTCAGCCAGTTGTTAAAGCTTCTAATGCTGAAGTCCGTGACAGAAAAAAAAATCTTGTGGAACTTCATCAGAATCGTTGAATGGAATTCGGGTTCTTGTTGTTGCAGCGATCAAGTGCCCATAAGATTGCTGATTCATCACTCGGTAAATTCCACCGAGGAACCCACCAATCCCATAATTCGGGTGATTTTCCCACCTTACATGAGCTTCGACCCCGTGACAGCCGGCGTTGTCGAAAATTCCACGGCTTACACTGTCGTGACAACGAAGCAAAACACGTCCGTCGATTTCCAGGTTAGCAGTTTTCTATTTTACCTAAGAACTTGATATACTTCTCGGAAAATTTTGTGCATGGCACTGAATACCGAACGGAAGAATTACGACAGGTGCGCGTCACGAAATTCCCGCGTCCGGATCTCCCGGATTTGCTTGGCGTGGAGATGAAAAATTAATGTTGAAAAACGCGTTTTCGCCGTAAGTTCCCGATGCTGTTGTTCGTCGACTGGATAGAGCTCAACTTTTCGCTCGTAGCGAACCCTACGAGGATGGAAACTCCAGCATCGGTTGGGCTCGGAGTAAGCGCGGTGACCCTAGCCAGGGCTGTGTGCACCAACTCTACGGCGTTTTACCATTGCGGCGACATCAGTGCGGCGAGTTATCTCATCAGCAGTGTTGGTAAGATCTTTTTAACTAGATGTCGCTTTGTAATCAACATTTTTTTCTTTTTCGCGCATCAAGGTTGTGCAAGCGGCAGCCTCGGCATGTCTAGTTCCGCGCTCATTCAAGATTGCCAAATCACAGCTTCGACAGCCGCTACTGCGGCATTTGCTCCGCAAAATGCCAGACCTGGGGGAAGCACATGTAAGAATTTTTGGAATTTTGCGTTTCACGCTGAACGAGTACAGAAGCTCCAAGCTCATATAAGACTCACGGTGGGGTACTTCTCGGTGTAAAAACCAAGCGAAGTTCGAGTTCCGACTGAATGCCTGATTCCTGTCCGAAGCATAACCGCTATGTGTTGATCGAAGTTGCGGAAAAGGAATATTTCTAATGTAAGCAAATGAGGAAAAAAGTACACTCGAAAATTGAAAAATTGGTTCATGAGTTATTCTGCAGGAGCAGGAGCAGAATAAATTAAAATTGATGAAATCAATTCCTTCGACTTTGATGTATTAAGTCGTGGAATTTTATGGCATACTCAGGATTGAAGTCTGAGATCTGCTCTGGTTAAGCTGATGCTAATCCAAATTGATTTCATTGTCGTAGATAGGCACTCATGGAATTAGAGTTCGCACCCAAGAAAAACACAATACAATACCGTACATATTTCAGCATTAAAAAACCCCCTTTACAGACAGATAATGCTGAATAGTGTGAGCGCTTCCTGGGGATCGCAGGAATTTTCTTATCTAGTTGGATATTTTTCCACCTCGTCTCCAAGAACGACGGTCAGCGAACCAGTCACTTGTTCGCATTCCTCAATTCTTGTTCTTAAAAAAAGTTGAAGTTTCCCGCGAGAAGTCCGAAAAATAAATCCACCAATTTCAGTAAATTTTCCAACTGAAATAATACACTTTATGTATTAACAGCCTTTAGAGTAAGTTTTGTGTCGGAGATCAGCGCAGGAGGCGTGGATAAATGTTAGAGTAATTTGGAAGCTTTTGAAACTTCAATTATGACAAATCGTCTATCTTGAGTCAGGCACAGGTGGAGTGGGTAATTAAATATTACAGCGTTCTGACTGTTCATATTCTGGTTCCTATAGTCAACAAGTTTTGTGGGGATTTTATTTCCCAATGAACATGGTCGAAGAATTCGAAAATATTACTCTTCTCCATCTGAAAATGTTGAAGGATCCCAGCAGGTTCCCGTTGGATAGCGTACTTCTGGCGGACATCATGCGAATTTTTGCCCAGTAATTGAAATGTGTGTTTTGGCTCAGATTGGGCACCTGCACTCGGGTCTGTTGAACCGTATATCGAGTTACACTTCGGCAACTTGACCGAAATCAGTGCTGTTTCCGTCGCGCTCGCCGCCGATTCGGCCTCGATCACAGGCTTCAAACTCATGTCCAGCTTCGACGGAGTATCATATTCAGAAGCAGCCTCAGTGAGTCGAACATTTCCCACAAAAATAATCCAATGACACTTGAGAGAACAACTTCATTCTGCAGGGAACGACTTTGCCATTCACTGTTCCATCGGCGTTCGTTACCCGATTCCTGCGCTTTGTCATCACAAGTGTGTCTGACACGACGAAAAAACTCACCAAGATCCAGTGCGTTGGAACTAGAAGATCTTGGAACATTTTTCGCGCGAAAATATAGTTAATCCTTTATTTTTATTTATTCTATTACTTTTTCCTCAGGATCGACCCTCAAGGTTGTTTCAGAGCATTGGACGTCACGATCAGCGATACGTGCCCGTACGTTCCACCGACTCGATTTACCGACAATATCAAAACTTGGCGACATGCTGTCGTAGATGCTACGAACAAAATTGTGTACTTCTGTATTTATCATACTATCAAAATGCGCACCTTATGCTACAGTGGAGCCACAGATGGAACCGTTTGGCAAGGTATGAGTTTATTTTCGATAAATCTTCAGAAGTTACAGGAAAACGTTTAAAAATATATTGGAGTTGTTCGAAGAAGCCCGTCGATTATGGAAGCTGTGTCAAAAACGTATGCATTTTTGGTTAATGTGGCAGATGATGGTTGGGTTTCTTCCCGGTTTGAGTAAATCATTTGGGAAGCAATAACTGTCAAAGAAAATTCTTTGGCAACTTGATGTAAAAAGAAACATAACCTATATTATTCATGCGACTTTCATGGTTTTTTCTCATTTTCATATTTATGCTACGAAGCATGAAATCGTGTTACGAAATTTTATATAATTTACCAAACGAATGCCCCACGTTTTATGTATCTTCAGTTCCACGTAGAACCAATGACTGTACAAGAGCAGCGTATATTTTTTCGATTTTGAAGTATTCGGTCAACATTTTGTTTATATTTTTCCGTAATTTTTTCAAAGAAAGGTTTTGACGCAGGTGAATGAATGCAAAAATCGAATAAGATCATTTATGATACAGTAGTTGATTATACAGTACAATACTATGCAAAGCGTTGGACGTCCTTTTCCAGTTCAGCATCATTGGAGTATCCACTTGCTTTAACCACAAGAATATCTGAATATCAGCAACTTATACAAATAAAATCTAAGGATCTAATAAAATCTTACCATCTAAGGAGAGGAATAATATATGTGAAAATGTTATAGACTATCTAGAAGATAATAAAGATCGGTCGGTGGAAAGGTGATTAGGATAGAATAGGATATCAATAATTGGGGGTCTTTTCTTCAAAATTACTCCATATACAATTGTGAGCAAGGCATCTTTTCTCAACATAATATTTCGTGGGCATGTCTCAAATTTGCGATGATTTCTAAAAGCAGCGCTAAGGCTCCATATAGGATTATAATTTCATTGCTGAGGAAACAAAGGTCAAGTCCGAAACGGAAGATATACAGCAAGGCAAATTGTTTTTCCAGCTGCTCCTCCGTACATCGGGTACTTTTCCGGGGTAGACAAATCAGTGAAACCCCCGAGAGCATTGTGCGTCGATGCCAAGGACGCTGCTTACGTGTACACCAAGGACGGACTCTTTTTCTCACCAATGTCCAAGGCTGACTTCGATGCTGCAGTCGGAGCAAGTGCTACATTTATTGCCGCTAAAGTTGTACCTTCTACCCCTGCTGTGTCGGTTGACTTGTTCAACGGGTGGACTGGTGAGTCTATTACAGTATCTAAATTAATTCTTGATAAAAAAAAATTGTTGGAAGAGAGCTTGGAATGCACTTGCCCCCCCCCCCCCGCAAAACATATTTTCGCACAAAGGACTGCCTCTGGCGGGACTTCCCTCCCGCACAACGGACTAAATCCGCATAACAGACATGTTGGTTTAAAATGAATATTACAAACTTTAATTTTTAATAATTTATTTTCTCATCACAGACTTTTCACGCTGATACTTAAAAATTAAGTATCTTGTCCGGGGGTTGACTGTGTTCAATTTGTTCTATTCCAGCTGACAACACGGGGATCAAACTGATGGGAGCTTTAAAGGTCGACTGGAGCACTTGTTGCAATTGAATTTTCCTGCTATTCTATATTATCTGAGTCCTATATGCATTCTCTTGATGCCGACTCTTATTATTTAATTATTGGATACGGCTTTCCCCGGAAAGGCACGCGACGCGACGTATGGAGCATTTTTCCTCGCTTTGGATATAATTTAAATATATTTTCCGAGAGCATTGAGCAACTGTGATGCAACACACAGGGAAACCAACAGACGCTTCAATAACATCATGTGTGCCTTGGATTTTGCTGAGATATAAGAAACATGTGCTCAATTTATGTGAGAAGCATGAATTGATTTCACTGTGAAGTTACAAAAAAAAATTGGAAATGAAGCGCCCGCATTTCATCCACAATGTCATTCTATATTCTTTTCTTTCGGGAAATTTGGGAATTATCGGAGATTATCCGAATGCTCAAGAAATTGGCTGAAGTTGGAACCTGGATTTGAAAAATGAATGCTCAAACTGAGTGTTATCTCCAGAAAGTGGGGAAATCATCCACTGAGGGATGATGATTCATTCATTCAAGGAACTTCAAAGTATGAATGACAAAAACAATTTTTGACTCAATCTGAGCATTGAATCGCATGGGATAAAACAGCAGTTCAGATTACGGAGACATTTATCTTCGCCACGTTGACGTTACATAATTTCTGATCCGTTACGCGAAATTCTGATCTTCATGCTTTCAATCAATGATTGGTTTTGGCAAGCGGATCGATGAGTCTTCGATTTGCGCTGAATTGGCTGATCATCCCTTTCAATTCCTCATTGGCTTCTGTTGGCCATCCGAATTGTTTATGAACTGTAATGCATTCCCACATATCTTAATCTTATCATTCTGAAAACTTCAATCATCAATGAATTTCAGTAGACCCACAATAATCTGGGTTATACTCAAATGGATCGCGGATTAACGCTGCTCCATAATACGAAACAAAGCATCCTTTCACGCCTGTCTATTTCATCTTGACGGACACTTGATACACTTCTGTACAGCACTGTCGTGGCCCAAAGATGACGCCACATTCTGTGCCGCACTGAAGTAACTTCTTTTGCCTTTCTGCACAGTGAATCCAGCCAGGTAACCCATCTTTTTTTAAGGCTTGTGAGCCTGACCAAAACCTTGGTTGTCAAAGCTCAATGGGCCTCACTGGAGGCCAAAGAAGTGGTCATCATTTCTTCAAGTTTCCTTCATTGGCCAATCGTTAGCCAGGAAGAAATCGGCAGAATTCTCCCAGTCCCACAGGAATCAGCTGTCTGTAAAATCCTTCATTCATCCATGGGAGAATACGTGTGGGAATCAGTATGAAAATAAGTGAGAGCAATTGGCACGATGAAGTGAGCATTTAATGTTCTGTATATCAAACTTACGTTCATCTGAACTAAAAAAAAAATTATCTATCCGGTAGAATTCAATTGATATTTTTCTAAAACAACCAAATGCTAGTGTCAAGCACTCAGAAGAAACCCCGGGATGGAGAGTTGAGTCCTTCAAGATTATTAAACCCTGATTGTTGAATATTTAATTCCTTTTTCTGGGATCGAAGTCCCTGACGAATACTTCAAAATTTGCAAGTATGATTGAGCATCACTAAATTTCCCATCTTTCATGAAATCCACGGAATCTGTTGCGTGCAATTTTTAAATATTCTATGATTCAATATGCAGTATTTTACTATCTGAACAAAAGAAACCCACGTGGTCATGAACACATATTATCGAAATGTTGCTATACTGTATTTTAAAAAATTCAAATGGAACTGCAGAGAATCTGAATCTGAACCTTGCTGGACGTCGTGTGGGTTTACCTCTCATCTATTAAAAATTCTTTCATACCCTGACTTGCTCAAACGCGTTAACCCTCCACACAATGCCCAAGTTTCCGCGGCACTTACGCCGTCTTGGAAAACATGTAAGCGGTCTAGAAACGAAGTGTAAACTAACCGATTATCTCCTCGCCTTCAAAGAAGAACATTGAACGACTCCGCCATTCGCAAACTAGAACTGGGAAAAGCCCGGAAAGGAAAGGAAATTTCGCCGTGGTCGTGATCCAAACTCGGGCAGGATCACGTCCAGGAAAACAGAGCCGATGGACGCATGGCGCGGAAACAATGCCGTCAGTCTGTTGACGAATGCCTCATTTCTCCTCGGTCAATATTGTGGAGTGGCCCCTAATATTTTTCTGGAGCCAATAACTACTTGTCCGCAAATAAAGACCACATTTACCCTCGACTTTATTTTGTTTATTGACCGGCCGGAGCTCGAATCGAAGGAATCATCCTTTGCCTTGCCGTCATCGCAAACAACGCGCTTCTTCAACATCCAGCAAGCACCAGCACTGGGAAAACGATTCTCGTGACTGCATATTCCGCAATTCTGGCAAGATTCGATAAATCTAACTAGTCAATCTGCCTAATTCATAAATTGAACTTCACTAAATATAATTGCATATTTTTTATCACAGTAGAACACGTATCACTGAAGTACTTTGAAAAAAA